CCCCGAGGCGCTGCTGCACTCGCTGCGCCGCAGCCGCCGCGTCAAGGCCAACGACCGCGAGCGCAACCGCATGCACAACCTGAACGCGGCGCTGGACGCGCTGCGCAGCGTGCTGCCCTCCTTCCCCGACGACACCAAGCTCACCAAGATCGAGACGCTCCGCTTCGCCTACAACTACATCTGGGCCCTGGCGGAGACGCTGCGCCTGGCCGACCAAGGGCTGCCCGGGGGCGCGGCCCGGGAGCGCCTCCTGCCTCCGTGCGCCCCCTGCGCGCCCGGACCCCCGAGTCCCGCCAGCGACGCCGAGTCCTGGGGCTCCGGGGCCGCCGCCTCGCCCTGCGCGGCCGCCGCCTCGCCCATCTCGGACCCCAGCAGCCCTGCCCCCGAAGACTTCGCCGGCTACGGCCCCAGCGACCCCCTGTTCTCCTTCCCCGGCCTGCCCAAAGACCTGCTCCACGCGACGCCTTGTTACCTCCCTTACCACTAGGCCCTTTGTACGACCGACCGTTGCTTTCGTGGGGTCCGGTGGGCAACCGAGGAGGACCCAGCGGGGCCAGGTGGAGGGAGGAGGAGGAAGGCAGCGGGGCGGGGGGGGGGGATACCTGAGCCTCTTGTTAGGTCGCTGCACCCTCGCCATGGCAGCCCCCCCCACGTCGGTCTGTTCCTCCTGACCCCCCTCCCCTCCTGCCCGCCCCCAGACGGCCTTTCCTTTTTGCACTTTCTGAACTCCACAAAACCTCCTTTGTGGCTGGCTGCGAGCTGACCCCAGTCGCCACGTGAAGTGTGATTTGGAGAAGGGACAGATGAGCCCCCTGAAGACGAGGTGAAAAGTCAATTTTACAATTTGTAGAACTCTAATGAAGAAAAACGAGCATGAAAATTCGGTTTGAGCCGGCTGACAATACAATGAAAAGGCTTAAAAAGGAGACACAAGGAGTGGGCTTCATGCATTATGGATTCCCGACCCCCACCACGGCGCAGCTCGCTCTAGGAAGAACCCGGTGCTTGCCTAGCTATTCAGCCACCGGGCTGGTGGGTACTTTAATTTATTCAGGATGCTTCATTCATATGAAAATGTATTTTTGTATATAAAGAGTTTATTCTATTATGAGCTATCAAAGTTTACATTTTTTGGGGGGTACTGCAGATACTTCGTGTAAATAAAAATTTTTAAGGAACAAATAAGTCACCAAGTTTCTTGCCTAAGGGAGCGCCTCTCGGACAACCAACCAGTGGTTGGCTCAACCAATCACTCCTAGTACAGTGAAACACTCACTATTCCCACCCACCTCCCAACCACCCTGTCCCGATTCACAAACAAATTAAACATAAATGTGCCTGATTCCCACCATGAAGCAGACACACACAGAGACAATGTTTGGGATTTGCCATTTCCTTTCACCTCCTCAGCACAAGAGAGATCTTTCTCGGGGCTCGCTATAAGCCAATTAAGACTTTTTTAGGGAGGAATTAGCCCCGCTTAGGCAGCTACCTGTCGAGGTAGGGCCAGGGAGAGTCTTTCTTTTGTAGGACTCCACGTCAGCTGGCCCTGTGTTTCAAAGAGAGAGGATTAAAAAGATCAATACAGTGTGACCACTGGCTAGGCAGTCCCAGTGACAGGTGGGCTAGTCTGGGTGAGCAGAAGGGTGTACTCTTTGGAACAGCCTATTTAGAAGGGGAAATTGATTTGTAAACAATGCCTTTAAACTAGTGTCAATTAAAGCTGAGGTCACCCTAGCTGTGAGGTGTGGGATGGATTATGCCGGTATGGTCTCAGTGAATGGGGTGTGCAGCTGCTATAAATTGTGAGCGAGGGTACCTGCGTGCACATGTACACACACACAGTTTCACCCAGTATAAAATGTTGGGGGAGGAGCACATGCAAAGGAGAATTTGGGTGCTTTGCTTGCTCTAGCCAGTCCTCAGGGGCCATAGCCAAAGCGGTCATTTGCTGCCAGAGAAATCTCAGTGGAGACTCTTCTGAAGAGAGACAGAGACACAGAGAGACAGAGACTGAGAGACAGACAGAGAGAACTGTCCAACAGCTTAGCAGCATCAGTGAGTAGCAACTTTTGTTTAAAATTTCAGAATGGGGATACTTACACAAAATAGTCCTAAAATGCTGCCCTAGCTTGTTTCTCCACGTTGGCCTTTACTTTTTTTTTTTTTTTTTAAATCACTGGACTTAAACTCAAGCTTGAGTTCAAGTTGAACTCACACTGTCCTTGAGCTTTTTGTCTCAAGACTCCACTTCCAGTTTTTAGGTTAATTGGAGTTAGAAGTCTGATAGCTTTTCCTGTCTGGGCTGGTTTTGAACCATGATCCTCAGATTTCAGCCTCCTGAATAGCTAGGATTACAGGTGTGAGCCACTAGCATTCAGTTTGGATATTATTAAATATCACTAGCCCAAGAGGCAAATGGGACTAAGTTCAGGAAGAGAGTGTCCTGTGTTAGTAGAGAAAGTGGGAAGATGAATAGAAGCAGAAGGTCAGAGCAAGGCCAGTGACACATGCCCACCTTGTTCCCTCCTTAGCCACTCTGACCTGGTGACTTGGAGCACAGGTACACAGGCTGCATTCGCAGCAGGCATTGCCAAGCCTGGGCATTGGGCACGGGCAAGGTGCCCATGCAGATAGACGACACTGTACAAACTTCGGGGAAACTGAATGCCTTCCCTAATTGCCCCCACATCAGAGACCACGGAAAACTTCTGGGATCAGAGTTGCCCTTGATAAAAAAAAAAAAAAAAAAGCTCCAAGAAAAAGCTGAAGGTCTATCATGAGTCACCCCAGGGATTGCCTCACTGTCTATCTCAGAACTACACCACTCTACTGGCTTTGTGTTTCCTACAGCCAAAGACCCAAGTGACCTGCACCAGAGGTTCTCTGCTCCCCTTGCATAGATACTTGAAAGTGACTCCCACGAGCTTTCTGAGGGACCCAGGCCAGATCTTCAAGAAGAGCTCATCCTCTATGGAGATTCTTCCTAACCATCAGGTTAGGTGCATGGGTCTGAGACAGCAGAAGAGAAGAACAGATTGTGTTTCTCCTTGTCCAGAATCCTTGAGAAAAGTGTCAGCTAATGGCTGAAGTCGGAGCTTTGTCTCCTACAGCTGCGCACAAGCAGGACTGAACACAAGAGAAACAACATTACCAAGGGTGAAGAATAGCACACCATAGTCCCAATTTGGTTACCACAATAGGCTCACAAACCCCAAGGTACAGGACCCAGTGCACCTTTCCATAAAGAAAAGTCTTTAACAAGGTCATTAGCAAAGTGGGGGGGGGGCGTTTCCACCCCTGCCAGCAAATGCTAATTCTTCCTAGGAAGCAAACATCCACAGGCAGCCTGGGGAGCTCTCAAAAACTGAAGAAAAGAAAGAAGGTGATTTAAAATGCTGATCCCCTGCTCAGGGGCCTCTTTCTTCCTGCAGCAAAGTCTCATTCATCCCCTGGCATCTGCAAAGGCACGGTGGGGGTTACTAGAATATTCTAATCAACAAAGAGCACAGTCCTGTCCATGGGACAGCCATGTCCCAGTGTCCTTAACCTCATCTCCCTCAACAGTTAGCATGCATTTGAGAAGGCTGCTATTCTCTACCTCCATCTCCACTTGGTTTTGTCCCAGCATAAGACATACATTTTTACACAGTTTCCAATCTATTGGGAAATCAGAGAAGGGAGAATTAGGACTAAATCGTAAAATGAGGATTTTATTCATTTTCTCTTTTTTTTTTTTAACTTTTTGGTCGGTCATGGGGCTTGAACTCTGGGCCTGGTGCTGTTCCTCAGCTCTTCAGATCAAGGCAAGCACTCTACCACTTGAGCCACAGCACCACTTCAGGTTTTCTGGAGGCTCATTGGAGATAAGAGTCTCACAGACTTTCCTATCGGGGCTGGGTTTGAACCGTGATTGTCAGATCTCAGCCTCCTAAGTGGCTAGGATTACAGGCATAAGCCACCAGTGCCTGGCTTCTCTCCCTTCTTTAACGATTGGTTGCCATGTCCTAGCTGTGTGCTGAACACTTTTCAAGACACTGGAATAAGACAAGATCTTTGCCTAGAAGGAACTTAAGTTCTAGTGAGCAAAATCAAAACCAACTTAGGGAAAGAATACGGTAAATGTGGAGGAGAAAACACACAGTGAAATAAAAGAATAGGAATCAAGGTGTGAGAGTGGTGCTATTTTTGAAAAGATAAGTCAGGAAAGGCCTTTTAATAAAATGTCACTTGGGTGAAAACCAAACTGAAAATAAATGGATGCTATGGTTTCAATATGGGTAGTGGTCTCCAGAGGCTATATGTGAACGACCTGATCCCAAGAGGGTACTACTGGGGAGTATGTGGAGATGGGGCTTTATGTACGGACTGGACCACCTCATCAATACACAAATTCAATGGAACCACTCAGTCTTGGACTTGAATGTCCAAAACCAAATTATGCCTCTCATCACTTCCTAAGTACCCTGTGTTAGGTATCTGGCTGTGAAATGTGGGAGGGAAATACACCTTCTCTCTCTATAAGAAATGACCAACTTCTGGTATTTGTTTATAGTAATGAAAATGGGCAATGTTTACAGTAATGAAAAATGGGCTACACAGGTTTGGTCATGAAACTGACTTTGGCCAACAGAATATACACACGTGCTACCACACACCCAATTTCACTAGCGCATTTTATGTCTCCAATCCTGCTTTCTCCAGAATCTGCTTCTGCAAGAGGGCATCCGTGCCCATCCCCCGCTTTCAACTTGAGTCCCCACACGAGAACTGCTTGCTTTAATTCTCATCCAGGAAATGCTCATATGCCCATCCCCACCCTTTCATTTCCTTTAGACTTGGGCCTTAAGAACCCTCTACTGTCTGGCACAGATGGCTCACGCCTGAAATCCTAGCTACTCAGGAGGCTGAAATCTGAGGCCTGCAGTGTGAAGCCAGCTCTCACAAGAAACTCGGTGCGACTGACTCCCAATTAACCACCCAGAAACCAGCCGTGGAGCTGTGGCTCGAAGAGGTAGAGCACTAAGCACAAAAGCTCAGGGACAATGCCCAAACTCTTGAGTTTACCCCGCAGCAGCATTCAAAGGACAAAACAAGCACCAGGCCGGGTGAGCATCCAAAAACGAGTCAAGAACTCAGACACACTCACCAAGGAGGAAAAGAAGCCTGGCACACAGACATAACAGAGCCCATCACAAGTAAGAGACGGGGTTGGCAAAGCAGCTGGCGGATCCTCCCTTCAAGGAGTCACGAAGGAAATGTAAAGCCAAACAGCCCTGAGGAAGCGCGGCCTCCGCCACTGCGATGGCGCGTGCGGCCCAGGCGCTGCTCCCCCTCTCAGGACTTTGCTGGTGGAGGTTCAAAGCCACACGGGCCCGTCTCCGGCTTCAGAAACAACACCCGCTTTACCTTGAGGCGCCACATTCCCACTCCTGTAGAAGCCAAGGCGTTTGTTCAGAAGAGAAGTCAAGGCCTGGCCGCCTGCTC